CAATTGCAATAAAACATAAAATCCTATAAATGCCGCCGTAGTATTCCGGTACGCAATTTTGGTGGTCTCCCACGACAAAGTCCTTAAACCGGATGATGCTGTTGTGTTTCAGTATCTTGAGGAAGATGGCCTTGCGGTATATTTATTGCTCTGTCATGTTGTGTAAATAAAGGATACTTATGAAAACATCGGCACTTGCATCATCATTCAAACGGAATGCTTTTCGTGTCTTGTCTAGGTAGGCACGTGTGATTGTGTTGCAGAAAAGCATTTGAATTAATATTGTCATGCACATTGTGACTCGGTCTCACCTTGAAGTGTTGTCACTCTTTTAGAGGGCCATCTGCTGGTATCTGTGGTCCCAGCATTTGGACACCTGGCCAAATCCTCCACCCAGTTTGAAGGAGTTTAGCCACCATCTGCTCGAGAGGGAGTGGTGCCGAAGAGTGCGAGCAACAGTGCAGGTGGCAGTTTCAACAGTAGCTTCCTATTGCTTCTTTACTCTTGAGTGATACAGCAGAGAAGTACCTGGCGCGATGTGTCAATATCGCTACTAGGGATAAAGGCCGTCGGGTGTGGTTCTGGCCACCCATCACCTCTTGTGCCATGTCGGCCTTCATAGGTGCTCGCTAACAGCACTTTCTCCTACAGTCTGTTAAGGCTATATTGGGGATCTTTGTGTGTGTGTGTGCGCAATTGTGGTAACCCATTGCGCCCCTTCCGACAAGTAAGCCAGCAGGATTCAAGGTAAGCGAAAATAAAATGATTTTTGTTCTATTTATGTAACTTTGTATGTTTTATTTACTATACAGTATTTGTTTACAGTGCTATATGCCAATGTACAACATTTCTCTATGAATTTAACTGCTTCCCTTTTTTGTTGAACCGTAACATTTCATAACACTGACCGAATGAGCATTTAAATACAGGACATTGTTGTGTTCCGACTTACAAACCGACTTAAGAACGCGTCTCAGGAGCTAATTATGTTTGTAAGTCGATGACTGCCCATAATTTCACGCTAAGCATTTATAGCCACTGTGTGCTTACCTGGGATGCATTGCACATAAAGTAAGTATAATTGTGTTCTAAGCCACATGTTGCAGTCCAGAGATGCAAATAGTTGTGTACTGCATCTTTCCACTGCAGGCTTCGTGTTCGGGTGAAATTCCCACGTGAAGTGAGGTGTCTAGTGCGTCATATAGTTGCTGTAAAGAACAACGCAACTTCAGTCAAATACTTTCCCGTTCTCTCATGATCACAGCGGGAGAGATGACGAGCTGGCTACACATAACAGCACTCATTCCAGCGCAAGTTTATTGCCAATTACCATACTTTAGCTTTCACAAACGGTTTGAACTTAAATTTCTTGTCAAAAACCTCCAAGGTGGCCAAGTTTACATTTTACAGCCCAATAACTCATACAGCGGTTTGGCCCACTCCAATACCCATTTCTTATTATTTAAACCGGAATTGCTATCACACATCTTTTGATGTGGTAATGCCCAAGTGGCCCATGCTTTCTGTTCTCTCCTGATTTAGATAATTTTGCTGCTATAAATGTCCATATGCTACGCCACTTTGTTGAGCTATTATTTGTGGCCAGGTTGCTTCTGAAAAATAAGTTAATACCTCTGGGCTTTGCCTGGTAAGATAAGTTATTTCGTTTTATTTATACATTTCAGTTATTTGTTTCCCTTTCCTATACTCTGCACTCCTTTCGTGTTGTGTATTGTTCGTTATAACATTCTGACCCGCCCCTAATGAACATCTCTGAAAAATAGCTTCACAGCTCATCAGATGCCTCCAGTATTAATATTCGGATTCTGAAGTTGATCTAGGTAGGACGTCGAAGTTGTGGTGCCGCGGCCTCGAAGCCACTCTGCAGGCGCCGCGACCCCCCCCCCATGACCCCCACACTGAACACACACATCGCACACATATAGTGTCCTGATGGGTCGGCTGACAATCGGGTATTAATCCGTGGATTCCTCTGGGGAATGTCCAACGGTTTTCCGATTCCAGGCGATTTGTTTGACCCAGCAGGATAGTTTACATCGCAGTGCCCCTAATTTGGCTTAATAGTTTATGGGCGCAAAAAGAGTACTAGGTCAGCTGCGATGAGTCATACATTCCTGAATAAAGTGTCAGGGTTGGCTAGACTGAAAAGTGCGGGAAAAGAAAGCAATAGGTCGGCGGAGCTCAACGCCCGCTTCAGGGAAAAAAGTGAGGTATGGCCACAGGCACACGATTGGCCGCGTGATATCACGTGACCCAGGTCCTTTGAAGTCGAATATACAAAGGTGAGACTGGGAAACGAGGGGGATCTCGTCTCCTACATCTTGGCCGTGAAGATCTTAGTCAGTCCTCTTTTCCCCGCTTGCAGCGTCTGTGAGATGCCAGTGACTGCAGCGACGAGGTACGAGGTAAGACGCTTGGTTGACTGGTTGGGTAGGTAGCATTAGACAAGGCTTTTCTCACAATACACTCCTCTCGAGTTGTACCAACTAGACAGCTTACTTTAGAGGATTTGTTTGCGCCGAAAAAAAGTATGAGCATGAATTGTATGTGGAGTAGTGGTTGCGATTTTCGTGTGGAGCGACCGCGTGTATGTGCTGAGTCCTTTGTGGCAGTGGATCACCACGCAGTGAAGGTGAAAGCAAGGTGGTGATCTTGATGTAGTTACCACGTATACGTGAGTCAATTGTGTGGGTGGTTGGGCGCATAGCGGCCATCGTTTGTTGGCCACCACGTACATGTGTAGTGGGTTCACTGAGAAACACACTTAACTCAGGAGGCAACACATTTATTCTACGACCACAACGGGGTAACTATATAAACGTAACCACAACGGGATAACTACATAACCGGTAACCACCACTGGGTAACTACATAAACGGGTCAGGTCAGTCGGCACACTGCCTGACCCACGATGCCAAGCACGAAGACCGGAGACCGAGTAGAAGATGTAGCACGGCGGGTTCCATTCCAGCAGACAGCCCCGATGGGACCCCGGGACCTCTATTTTATTTCTCCCAGTGTGGGATGGCTCTGCCCTCGGCCACGCCCCCTTCTGGAACTTACCAGAAGATTCTGGGCCCTACACCTCGTGTCCCTTCTGTCATCTTTGGCCCACATCCTTGCCCTGTCCTGTCACGTGCCCTTGGTGGCCAATCGGGCTGCTACGTCCTCAGATGCCCTCTCTCTGCCAGCCACCAGAACCATGCCCCTTCGGGACCCTTTTCCATGACATAGCACACCCTGCTGGCAGAGGGCTACTACACTCCCAGTTCTCCTATCAATAACTGGCGCTACACGCCGTAGTGACCCATTATACGTCACTACACATGTACTCATTAATTGCGCAGGTAGTAGAGCGTTTCGTGGCCTTTTGCTAGCGGAAGCTGCTGTGTGCGTGGGCATGTGTTTTACCTCTGCATGGCCCCGGCCAACAATACTGCCTATCCCTTAGGGACAACGCAAAACAAAGGGGGCCCAGTTACTCGGGTCGGCAGGTGCCAGGCAAGGGCAGCCCGACACGGTGGAGGAGGGGGAAGAACGGGTGGACGTGAGGGCGGCGAGGTGGACGTCGGGCACCACAGTGATTTGCTGCTCAAATAAACATTGGTACAGTGCTCATCTCTTTACAGCTCTGAGCCAGTGCTGTAAACTCCATATTGCTATGTAATAATCGAGTCGATCCATAGGACAACCACTGTTCCCCACAACGTGGTATTCATTTAATTGACCCAGAAGGATTATGGGTTGAGGAAACCCCCCAAACTAGGATTTGAACTCGCAACCTGACTGCGATTCGCTCGCTCTACCATCATGCCACCGGGCCTGCCACCATTCCTTCCACTTAGGTCTGCCCACGTGGTACCCAGACATCACATTCTTGCTCGTGGCGGCTACCAGGATGCCTGGCAGCTGAGCTGTGCTCCATCCATCTAATCTAAAGCCAATTACGAGGGCCTGGTGTTGGTAAAAATGGCATTGAATTATGTGTGTGTAGAGCAGTGGTTAACACACTGCACGTTGAACCCGGGATCCTGAGTGTGATTCCTGCTCATAGCCAACATCAGTGACAAATATTTGTACTGGTTATGGACCTCCCCTAGGTTTAAAGTCGAGTGTGGTGTGTAAACATCAGCATTGGCTGGACATAGTTCTAGCCACCCAACTCCTCATGTACCATGCCAGCCTTAATATGTCCTTGTTAATACCACCTTCCTTAAAAATATCTTAAAGGCTATAGAAGGAGTCCTTGTGAGAGTGCGAATGTAGTTCTGTAGCTGGAACACCTTTTCCACCAGCCGTGATTGATGGGGAGGTGTGGACCAGGGATCCGATGCAAACCATGGCATGAGCCACAGTCCTGAACCTTAGCATCATAGGAAGTCCTCCCCCCATACTCGGTATCTAAGGGTTCCCTATCCCGTCTGCCACAGTCTCCCTTGGTGTATGCCGTGGCCAAAGTGTTACAGCTAAAACAAATATAAACGAAAATTGTAATTCTGTTTTGGATGGACAGGCAGGCAGCCAAGAAGGTCAAGGACTAAGATCACTTCAATCAAGAAAGGCCTCACTTCAGCACTTCAGCAGCACCTCCCCTCGCTTTTGCTCCACAATACAAATTAATTAGCTTTCAATCCACGTGCCAGCACTTCTGCCCACACATATGGCTTCATTGCACTTTCAAAAGATGCCTGCAGTTGTTTTACATTAAAAACGAATCTAGTTGGCCTGGGGCCACACCTGCAGCATTAAAACGTCTCTGCCTACTGCACGTATTTGATACTTTGCGTTTATTTAAATCAACAGGGAAGTTTATGGCTGAGGCACTTCTCTACATGCAGTTTTCGGGGTTTGTCCTGTCTTTCTCTTAAGGTCATGCCCCCTACTCTTTAGGCCCCATCCCTTTCTATTGAGGCCCCTCCTAATTTCTCTTGAAGCCCCACACCTTCCTCTTGAAGCCTCACATCTTCCTCCTTGAGGCCTCACACCTTCTTCTTGAAGCCCCATACCTTCTTCTTGAGGCCCCACACCTTCTTCTTGAGGCCCCTCACCTTCTTCTTGAAGCCTCACATCTTCCTCCTTGAGGCCTCACATCTTCCTCCTTGAGGCCCCACACCTTCTTCTTGATGACTCACGCCTTCCTCTTGAGGCCCCACACCTTCCTCTTGAGGCCTCACACCTTCCTCTTGAGGCCCCACACTTTCCTCTTGAGGCCCCACACCTTCCTCTTGAGGCCTCACACCTTCCTTTTGAGGCCGCACACCTTCCTCTTGAGGCCCCACACCTTCCTCTTGAGGCCTCACACCTTCCTCTTGAGGCCCCACACCTTCCTCTTGAAGCCTCACACCTTCATCTTGAGGCCTCACGCCTTCCTCTTGAGGCCCCACACCTTCCTCTTGAGGCCCCACACCTTCCTCTTGAAGCCTCACACCTTCATCTTGAGGCCCCACACCTTCCTCTTGAGGCCCCACACCTTCCTCTTGAGGCCCCACACCTTCCTCTTGAGGCCTCACACCTTCCTCTTGAGGCCTCACACCTTCCTCTTGAGGCCTCACACCTTCCTCTTGAGGCCCCACACCTTCCTCTTGAGGCCCCACACCTTCCTCTTGAGGCCTCACACCTTCCTCTAGAGGCCTCACACCTTCCTCTTGAGGCCCCACACCTTCCTCTTGAGGCCTCACGCCTTCCTCTTGAGGCCTCACACCTTCCTCTTGAGGCCCCACACCTTCCTCTTGAGGCCCCACACCTTCCTCTTGAGGCCCCACACCTTCCTCTTGAGGCCCCACACCTTCCTCTTGAGGCCCCACACCTTCCTCTTGAGGCCTCACACCTTCCTCTTGAGGCCTCACACCTTCCTCTTGAGGCCTCACACCTTCCTCTTGAGGCCCCACACCTTCTTCTTGAGGCCTCACACCTTCCTCTTGAGGCCTCACGCCTTCTTCTTGAGGCCTCACACCTTCCTATTGAGGCCTCACACCTTCCTCTTGAGGCCTCACATCTTCCTCTTGAGGCCGCACACCTTCTTCTTGAGGCCTCACATCTTCCTCCTTGAGGCCTCATACCTTCCTCTTGAGGCCTCACACCTTCCTCTTGAGGCCTCACACCTTCCTCTTGAGGCCTCACACCTTCCTCTTGAGGCCCCACACCTTCCTCTTGAGGCCCCACACCTTCCTCTTGAAGCCCCAAACCTTCCTCTTGAGGCCCCACACCTTCCTCTTGAGGCCCCAAACCTTCCTCCTTGAGGCCTCACATCTTCCTCTTGAGGCCTCACACCTTCTTCTTGAGGCCTCACACCTTCCTCTTGAGGCCCCACACCTTCTTCTTGAGGCTCCACACCTTCCTCTTGAGGCCTCACACCTTCTTCTTGAGGCCCCACACCTTCCTCTAGAGGCCTCACACCTTCCTCTAGTGGCCTCACACCTTCCTTTTGAGGCCCCACACCTTCCTCTTGAGGCCTCACACCTTCCTCTAGAGGCCTCACACCTTCTTCTTGAGGCCTCACACCTTCCTATTGAGGCCTCACACCTTCCTCTTGAGGCCCCACACCTTCTTCTTGAGGCCTCACATCTTCCTCCTTGAGGCCCCACACCTTCTTCTTGAGGCCTCACACCTTCTTCTTGAGGCCTCACACCTTCCTCTTGAGGCCCCACACCTTCCTCTTGAGGCCCCACACCTTCCTCTTGAGGCCCCACACCTTCCTCTTGAGGCCTCACACCTTCTTCTTGAGGCCTCACACCTTCCTCTTGAGGCTCCACACCTTCCTCTTGAGGCCCCACACCTTCCTCTTGAGGCCCCACACCTTCCTCTTGAGGCCCCACACCTTCCTCTTGAGGCCCCACACCTTCCTCTTGAGGCCCCACACCTTCCTCTTGAGGCCCCACACCTTCCTCTTGAGGCCTCACACCTTCCTCTTGAGGCCCCACACCTTCTTCTTGAGGCCTCACACCTTCCTCTTGAGGCCTCACACCTTCTTCTTGAGGCCTCACATCTTCCTCCTTGAGGCCCCACACCTTCCTCTTGATGCCTCACACCTTCCTCTTGAGGCCTCACACCTTCCTCTTGAGGCCCCACACCTTCATCTTGAGGCCTCACACCTTCCTTATGAGGCCCCACACCTTCTTCTTGAGGCCTCACATCTTCCTCCTTGAGGCCCCACACCTTCCTCTTGATGCCTCACACCTTCCTCCTTGAGGCCTCACACCTTCCTCTTGAGGCCCCACACCTTCCTCTTGAGGCCCCACACCTTCGTCTTGAGGCCCCACATCTTCCTCTTGAGGCCTCACACCTTCCTCCTTGAGGCCCCACATCCTCCTCTTGAGGCCTCACACCTTCCTCTAGTGGCCCCACACCTTCCTCCTTGAGACTCAACACCTTCCTCTAGAGGTCCTGCCCCCTTTTAGGCCCACAGCATTTGCTTTGGGGTTTGCCTCATTCTCTTTAAACGCCACCATTAATTTAGGCCCCACTCCTTTGAGGCTCTGGACACCGGCTTATTTTGGGCTTGTTTTTTTATCGTGCCAGTTTTTTGTGTTTCTGTGAGAGAGAGGACGACTCAAGAGTCGCCAGGAGGAGGAACCATAGACAAGTGGGAAGACAACAGCAGCCACGAATGCACTGCCTAACTCTGTGGAGATCTGCACTATCCCTGCTAGAGCTGGTGAAAGCTGTCTGTGATCAGCTCTTTTGTACGTGTTGCAGATCTCTACTGGGGCCCTGGTGAGTTTCCTGCGTGCAGACCATCTCTGTGGTGTCGTACACCACCTCTGCTAGCGCTCGGCGTGCGCTCACCCATAACGGAATCTTCGGGGTGCTGTCTGCTTCTTGCTTAACCCTGCATGCCCACTCCTCAATCTGACTGTGCTGAATTCCACTGCTGGGACTCCAGCGTGTGGCTTCGCACTGCAGTGTATATCACTGTGGTGTTGGCACGGCCGAGGTGCCACACCCCGAATAACTCTGGATTGCCTTTCTTGGACTGTAGATTAATATCTGTTATTGGTTGGTGGTTGTTTTTTTTATCATATATTCGGAATCTACTTTTAATGCCCTCGCACTGGAGATATGGTTATTATTGTTTGACCCAGAAAACTAAATTGTAGTGTTTAATATATATGTGTATTGCTCATAATTATTGTTTTGCTAAATGTTTCCTCGGTGCACAGTGAAGTGCAAAGTTCCTTTCTCGCACATTTAGTGCATGATCTAGTATGAATTGGTCTTAAACAACCTTTTTATTCTGGGTCCTGAAAGTGGAGCTGCGATAGCAACTTTTATAGGCTGGACAAACTTTCAATGCAATGTATTTATTATTACAAATAGAAGCTCCTTACAACATACCCGGCTATTAAAACAGCCAGGTCAACTTGTAAAAAAGATTATTAAACAGATATCTATCCAAACCATGGCCCTTCCTCATTAATAGACATGGATAAACTGCATTAAAGGATTGAATTTTGCCCAATTCAATATTTGTAGTTTGCCCAAGGAAATTGAGATCATCCAGAATTTTATATCAGTAAATCCAGTGGCAGTATTAGGCATCTGCGAAACATGATTTACAAAACACACTGGAGACTCTGAAATTAAGGTTACAATTTACGATGGAGAGATATATAGACCAAGATGGGAGGAATAGTTTATTTTAATGATTCGTTCGAGACAAAAACACTGAATCCGGTGGACTGTGGACCAATTGAGCATGTATCAATAGTTTTCTCTCAAGTTTATCTACCTCCTAAATATGCAACTCATTATGTTACAAATTTAGAAATGTATATATACCTGTTCCTAATATATTATTAAAATGTGATATTGTCTATTCTGAATGGCATCGTACCTTGTAGGCATATATGCGTTCCCTCCATGCCGAACATCGGAAAAAGCAGATGACAAAGCCAATCAGCACCAGAATGGGAAGTTGGGAAACAGAATAGTAGAGGCTTTGATAAGATGGGCATGATAAGAATCACCAGAGCTGCTGATGGTCGTGTGAAGCTGTAGTGTATTTTGCTTCCCAGGAATTAACCCAACTCATGCAGCAGAGGGGGAACAGGTGAATGGCAGGCCATAGAGGAAATAACCCTTGCGTGGGCAAGGAGTGACCCAGCATCTGTTTCTGAAAGATAACTTTACGGACGGTGTCAGGTATCAGCCGTCTCCTAAGAACAGAGCAGAACAGGATGTGCAAGAGAAGACCTATTTAAAAACACAAACACAAAACCTGCTGGCGACCCGAGGTCATATACAGGGAAAAGACAATAATGTCCCTTGCCGTTTCAACGACTGTGAATTAACAAACCCTGGTGTCTGGAAAGTTGAAACTTTCAAAATGACAACCGCCGCATATGAATAATCTTAAACATCATGGTACTAAATGGTAATTTAGGATAGGATGTATTGTTACATGATAATACAGCATAGGGTCAGGAGGTTTTGAATGACTAGTTTGCATGTTTTATTAACACCCACTTATCCATACATAATTGTCATGAGGTCTGGGTTAAGCATATTAAACTTGATAATGAATTATTGAAGTTCCTATTGAACCTAAGGATCATTCAGAACAATATATAATCCTAAGTATGCAATTCTCAATTATGAAAAGTAATGTGTTCAAGGGCTATAACCAGAGCCACGCCCGATCGCGTTTTGTCTCCCCAGTGGTGATCTTTATATGCTGCACCAGGTATTCATTTTAAGGCCGAGTAGCTTTCGTGGGGAAACCAGGTCCAGTTCAGCTAACCGCCACTGTTGGGAGACATGAATACCCAGAGGAGAGGCCGTTTTCACACTTAAACACATGTGCTCGACACACACACACCACATCTAGAGGCCAAATTGTATGAGTCGAGAGACATCACAAGGGGCAATTAAATGGGTCTGTGTTCTCACAAGTGTTGGGATGACCTCTGAAGGAAGGAAATATGGCGCTTATGACATCAGGCCCCAGGATATGTCAAGAGCCAGGACCAAAGTTTAACTAAGGCCAAGCCGATGAATACTCGAGGGGCATGACAGTGGGAGGAGCTTTGGGCTCTAACATGACTTAGAGAATTACTGAAAAAAAGTAGAAATTCCTATATAACAATAGACACAAATTATATTCATCAGTCTTGCAGAGGCAAGCTCTGGGATTGGGCCTCGTAATTTGCTAAGGCAGACTCTTACGTGTCCCTGAAAGTGTTACTTTATATTTTTCTTTACATATTTGATTCCCTTGCAGAGTCAAGGACTCGCAAAGTAGTGTTGCGATAAGTTGCGTGGTCAAGGAAAATTGTCAATAAGTGCCCCTCGTGGCAAGGTGGCTTTATATACGCTGTAGCTCTCCCTCACGCTATTGTGCAAATTAATTATCGATACAATACTGTGCAAAGCGGAGAGGTGTGAGGGAATTGTTGGCATATAGCAACTTCCCCAAGTGGAGACTTGAGGTATACACCAGTATCGAGTGTGCACATAAATATTTCCCAGGCTACAGGCTGGGAAGTTCTAACTGATATTGTACGAGGTGTGAAAAGGCCGGGAGTCTGTCTGAATTGTCAGGCGCAGTCTCCGCCGAGCCGGTGGCCGCCTACACGTCGCTGATCGCCGAGAGTGGGCCTCAACGGGTTCTCGCACGCCAAGCTCCTCTCAAAGACTGCTGGTGACCGACTCACGGCGTGCCAGGTCAAGTGTTGTGGCGTACAACCACTCTGCTGATGCGCTGCAAGCGCTGGGTCAGCATGGCCACAGCGTGCTCTAGCTGCAGATCGAGCCTGGTGCACGGACAACCCGTGAACATGCGGCGCAGCAGCTGGCGACTGACTGGCAGCGTGCTGGCTCGAGAGCCGCGAGCGTACTCCAGCTGTGGACCAAGCCTGACAGGCGGACAGCCCCTGAGTGGACAGCGAGCAACGTGGTCACAGCACGCTCCAGCAGTGGTCCAAGCCTACCGATCAACACTCCCTTGTAGGACTGGAGGTATTTTCGGGTACAGAGACGACAGAAGATAAACGCCGACTCTTACATCATGTGACCACCCTGCTCACAGTCGGCGATAACACCTCATACGCGTGTAGTGTAACAGCGCCAGCTGGTGGACAGCAGCGGCAACTGTGGTGGACAGACAGTACACGCGTCGGTGAGCGTGTGCACGGTGCGTGTCGGCAGGGCGGAGGAACCGGGGCAAGGGTCACGGAGGACCCCGTGTGGAAGCCCCTGGAACCTGCTAGCGGGTTCGGGAAGGGAGGCGCGGCCAGGGCGGAGTTAGGCCGCGCTGGTAGCATCAAAGGAGAGCGGAAACTCGAGGCTGCCGGTTCTGGGATTGGATTTGTCTCGTCGCTGCCGTCTTCGCTCGATATTGCGCTGCCAGATAGTTGTAGGCTGTCTCAATCAGCGCCGTCAGTGTTAGACGGCTAGCGTTGTGTATAGGCTAGGATAAGCGACTGTTGAGAGTGTGCAGGCGAGACCGTGAATGTTCTCAATGAAAGGTGCCTCCTGCAAACCTCGTCTCCGTATCACTAACAATACACACGGATCACACATGAACCAACTCACACCACACTACATATCATAACCCGTGAACCTCGCGCATAATTGCCACCCCGATACACACATCCACTCCACGTCATGGATATCTGTACAATATGAGCATTGCAATTTGAGATGTTAACTTGTTTTATTTGAATTGCATAACCTTGCAATTCAAACGTTGATGCTTTCCTAACCATTTGGTAAACATTGTGTTAACACGTATGCTTGCATGAATACTGTTGTTTTGAGGCGTTAGCCTGGTTTTATTTTAAATGGCATAATCTTGATGATACCATGAACCTGTCCATAAAAATGTCTCGCGAGAAACATTACAGTTTCGATATTGATGTTAGAGAACATTCCACGTCGGGTTTTTTGTTGGGTTTTTTGGGGGGGTTTTTCCTGTTCAGTGACGCTCGAGGGCTTGACAGATGGAAACAAACCTTGGGGGCGTTTTCAGCCAACTGAAAACGGCGACTTCCTCCTATTTCTTGTGCACTGCCCATCACCTACAAGTTCACGTGCACTGGAGATAGTTGTCGTTGCAGATTTGCTGTTCGCTTCAACAGAGGAGACGGTTATAGTCCAGCCTTAGCGTGCGTGGTCATCCAGATTTAACGATGATCATTATACAGATCGTCCTGTGTTGCTGCTTCCTCGCCACCGCGCTGTGCACGGCACCCGGCTTCGAGCTGCGCGTCACCCAACGCGGCTTGGATTACGGTAATAAAACACGTGCGCACTTTACCATTC